TCCTCCCCCTCAGCCCTTACATTGTGAAAAATGTTTGTGTTACAACTCTCACTCGAATGCAAACTGCCCCAGTTTGCCTGTACGCCCCCCCCCCATTGTCGGGGCCCTCATTTTGCCCATCAATGCCTCCAGCTAGTACAACCTCCCGTTTGTAATACCTGTAACCAGAACCACCCTATCTATTCTTACAAGTTTCGCGGTAAACCTTCTCCAAAGCAGGATGATCCTACTTCAGTGGCTCCAGTTAGTAGCTTCGACCCCATTACCCCATATAAACTTTTGATACTATTTTCGTTCATATTTTTCTGACCCTCATTTTTCTCTCTTGTTTCACGTCCACTGCGACATTCCTCCATACACTTTCATCAACTTTAGTTTCTCTCTTACTCACCTATCTTTTCTCCTATTTATCAGACACATCCTCTGACTGAAGAGAGGGTGTACCCTTCTAGTGTCCCGCCAGTCTTGGACTGGAATGAAATGCATATTTTACTTGCTAATTTTACACACAAATTGAATGTGCCCGGCATGGCCAGGTGGTTAGGGCGCTCGACTCACAATCTGAGGGTCGCGGGTTCGAATCCCCGTCCCACCAAACATGCTCCCCCTTTCAGCCGTGGGGGCGAGTAGCCCAAGAGTTGGCGGTGGGTGGTGATGACTAGCTGCCTTTCCTCTAGTCTTACACTAGCGCAGATAGCCCTCGTGTAACTCTACGCGAAATTCAAAACAAACAAACACAAATTGAGTGGAAAGTTGTTTCACAATGGGTTATCCATGCTGTGCCCATCACTGGTATCGAAATACAATTTTCAGCGTTATAAGCCACCAGACTTGCCGCTGAGCCACTGTAAGTAAAACAAAATGTAAACTAAGTTTTAATTTTTTCTTTATCGTGCAGACTAAGCTGAAAAAAATCGTATAAGTTAAGATCGCCCTGTATAACCTGAAGAATTGAAGTCATTAGTGTGTTAACCCTACCGCGCAACCCAGTATAGTTCTTTCTTTCTTTTTTGAGATTCACCACTTTCGCTTTCCCTACAAAAATAGAATGAACACCGAAATGGTTACGAACA